ACCTACACTTCTTGTGTAAAGAGCAACAGTAAAAGATGTGCACACTCAATCTTTATAGACTAGAGCAGTCTGTTATGTGCTGTTCGTTTTTAACTGAATGTTTTTAAGATGCTTGATAAGATTAATATGCTTATGCAAGCTGCCAAGAGTCTGTGGGATTGGGTACAACAGAAATTATGTAAAGAAGCCAGTTGTTGCTATACCAGAGAAGTTATCAAGCATATAGTATGCATAAAAATCCCTGTCAGTCTTTAATTTGAATGGAATTCTTTCCTGAAGTAGTATGACATAATGGTATGTATTTAAGCCTGGAAACGATTCAGGAGCACAAGGACTTGATAGAAATCAGTTTTCTTAAAATTAGTTCCAGGAAGATCCGTCGCATTTCAGTGATGAAATTTACATAGAGAGAATGAATGCAAAACAGCATTCATTTTCCAATATGCTTCTCTTCCAATAGAAAAGAAAATTTGTAGTTCAGGGTTGAACTGTGGGATTCTTGGTGCTCTCTGAGCTTGGTTGTTTTGTTGCAGATGCTTCATTCTCCTTCAGATATATTGACAGAAAGTGATAAGTGTTTTAGAGTTTTTGGAAGGAGCATAGCATTCTAACACTTAACTTTTGCCTAGCTGCATCCATCATGCTTGCTTTATCTTCTTTACTAATGGAAGAAAGATGGGTCCTTTTGGGGATCATTCCAGTTTTCATTGATCCCATTAGGAGAGTGTTGCAGAATATCAGCTATCATATGTCAGTTGCCCTTTGGCACAACAGCTTGATGTACAAATATATTAGTCAAGAATTACAGATTTGAAAAGATCGTCTGGTTCAGCATGTCTGACCATCAAATCCGTCATAGTGAGAACATTAACTAGGCACTCTTAAAAGTTAGTTTTGAACCAGTCCCTAATGCCTCCCCCTAGCCAGACAGGTGATGCTGTGGCAGTACTCGCTGAGTTGTCTAAAGGCTATAAGGGTTTAGATCAGAGGTGTCAAATTCAAGGTCCACGGGGTGTTAAATCTGGCCTGTTGGGCCAGCCTGGAAATAGCAAAGGACTGGCCTGCAGTGCCTCTGGCAGCCAAAATAGAGCATTCACCCCCCACATCCCGTTTTCAGCCTAGGCAACCTCCTGCAGCACCCTGCCAGCCAAAATGGGGTGCCGGGGAGCTGTGCAGTTTGTCCTATCTCCTCTCCTGCTGGCCGGCACATGCAGGAGAACTACAATGCTTATCCTGCCCTTGAAAAAAAATCCAGTTTGACACCCCTGTGCTAGATGGTTCAATTCTAGTAAAATGGAGTGATTCTGTTTTGAGGCTTTCCGGGAACAGGTATTACATCTCTAACTCTGGATAGGATGCCACTTTCATAGGATGAGTTGGTTTGTGCAATTTTGGTATCCTCTTACAGCAGGGATATCAAACTCAATTTCATTGAGGTCCCCATCAGGATTGTGTTTGACTTCGGCGGGGGGGATGCCTGGGGTGGCCGTTGCCAGCTCAATGTCATTTGTTTCAGGGGCACCCTCCCTCAGTCTTATAATCTCCCTTCTTTCCTTCCTTCCTTCCTTTTCTTTTTTCCCCTTCCCACTTCATTCTCCTTTCTTCTTCCTTCCCCTTTTATTTTTTCCTTCCTTGCTCTCTTTCCTTCTTTTCCTTTTTCTCTTTCTCCTTTCCTGTCCCTTCTTGCATCCTCAAATGCAAAAAGGGAAGCATTTCTCCTTTTGTTTTTAGTTTATTTTGCTACCCCTCTGCCAATAAAATGAGTGTCCTCCCAGGCCCTGTTTTCAGCCACGAAGGCCTCCTGCAGCTCTCTTCCAGCAAAAATGGAACGTAGCCCCTGAGCTCTATTTTTGCTGGCAGTCTGCAGAGGCCATCGTGGCTGAAACGGGGCCTGCAACTCCCCCCCCCCCAGCTCCATTTTTGCTGGCAGAGGCATTGTGGGCTGGTTCTTTGCTGTCTCCAGGGTGGCCCCATGGGCCAGATCTAAGCACTCCAGGGGCCGGATCTGACCCATGGATGGGCCAGATCTAAGCACTCCAGGGGCCGGATCTGACCCATGGGCCTAGTTTGTCACCCTGTCTTAGAGTCAAAGCTTTTGCGCAAGGAGCAAGTGGCAGTTGTGGCTAGGAGGACCTTTGCAAGACTCCCCATGCAACAGTTGAGCATTTTTCTGGGACATAAAACCTTGTTCACAGTCAGTCAAGCCTTGGTCACTTTCTATTTGGATTACTACAATAGGAGCCAAGATGGCACAGTGGTTAGAACGCAGTATTGCAGGCTAACTCATTGATTACTTCCAGGAATTCGATTCAGAGCAGGTCAGGATTGACTCAGCTTTCCATCCTTTTGAGGTCAGTAAAATGAGGACCCAGATTGTTGGGGGCAATATGCTGAGTCTGTAAACGGCTTAGAACTGTAAAGCATTATGAAGCGGTATATAAGTCTACTTGCTATTGTTATTGCTAGTATACTTCACATAGGTTGTGTATCCATATCTCAGCTGCGTGAGCTGCACTAGCTCTCAGATTCAAGAGAGGTTGAAGTTAAGACTGAGGCTGCGTAGAGACTCTGGGCAGATTCCTCTTTTGACTCCACCCCCAAGTTCTGCCACTCCTTTAGAATGCGTCACTAACTTCTTTAAAAGCAGAGTTTTCTAGCCTGCAACGATTGTAGGCAAGAAATGACTTATCTGCAACTTCTGTCTGCTGTTTTGGAATAAGTACGTAACCAGCACAAAGTGCTTTCTTATTGTTTTCTTCTTGTATTTGTCCTAGCTGTTTGGATGGGGGAGAAAATCTTGAAAAATCAGATATAGCATGTTGTAGTTTTAAAAACTTAATATAAATAATAGAACTTTATCTTGATCCTCTTTTGCTTTTTTTCAATGGATGCATAGATATTGTAAAACATGTTTAAAATAGATTTTATGTTCTTATGAGTCTTATTATTCTGGATTCAGTTTTAATGTTGAAATAACTTTCCAATCAAGTATTTCTGAGTATTAGGGACAAAATAGGTTATGTTAACAATATTCATCTGGAGAGAATCTCAATATCATATTTTACTGCATTCAGAGCTAATGAGAAAGAATGATGTGTCATTTTTTGAATGAGGTTGGACTGAGCGAATTTCACCCTCTTACTCTCCTTGAGGTTGGAGGTATTTAGAGATTAGAGAGAAGTTCAGATGGCTCCTAAGAAATCTTAACAAATTAATGAATCTGTAAGCAGTCCGTCTTTAGTGGTGAGTCTTGGTTATCTGCTCTGCCCTCACTGCAAGCTGGGGTTCCATTGTTCAGTACTTCAGGAAACCACGATTGAAATGCAGATTTTTTTCAAGGCATTGAAAAGAACTATAGGCATTTCTGGAAACAAGGGAGAAACTTCTTCATGCTTTGCAACAACTTAGGTCTGTTGTAAATTGCTGGGAGAGAAACGTCCATATTAGTATTTGGACATGACCAGAAAGGAAAGAGAAATTGGTCACAACTTGTCTTCATGAATGGAGAAGAATCTTTTAGAGATATTTCGTAAAATATTGAATTATTATTTCAAAAAGCAGAAATAGTTAACAAGTGAGGAAAAGGTTGAGGTATTGTGTTTCTTTTATTCCTTCGCAAGAGAAAATGTGACTTCAGAACTTTCATGGCCATTCCAAGAGTTTGGAATGCTAGTAAGAGCCATCTTTAGTAACTCAGGGTGGCCATCATGATTCAGCAGATTCTACAGGATGTGTCTTCCAAGGAAAATTTTGGTTCTCTCCAAAAGTTTAAAAGTGTTTTCTAGAAACATCATCTTCTGGTTGTCAGTAATATAGAAATCTGTTTTTTGGGAGGGGGGGCAGATATTCAATAATTGTATCTTGTTTTAGGCTAGACAATGTGATAGACATGGAAGTTTCTGCTCTCTGTGTTTCCTTCCTGTATTTTACTGTAATTAATTCCAAAATTTCTGTATTGAATTTCATATATTGGAGGAGGAAGGAAGTTAACATAATATTGTATATTGTATTGGAAAAGAAGACAAAAAATTGCCACTGGTTACATGTTGCCCAGCAAGCAATTTTATTTTGCTGTTTAGCAGTCAGTTGAGTTGTAAGGAAGTTGCAGTTTAAAGTTGGTTGATTGATTTTTGCATATAATATTCTTTTACATATTTATATGAACTATTTTAGGTTTAGGTTTAGTTTTATTTATATGCCGCCCTATTCCCAGCGGGACTCAGGGCGGCGCACAAACCCAAGGGGGGAAAGGGAAACACACAAACTACAAATACAAGCATTTAAAAATGACCAGCAGACACACAAATCGAGAGGGGAAGGGAACTCATCAACCCCAGGCCTGCCGACACAGCCAGGTTTTAACGGCTTTTCGGAAGGCCTGGAGAGAGGTGAGGGTCCGAATCTCTGCGGGGAGTTCGTTCCAAAGGGCCGGAGCTGCCACAGAGAAGGCCCTCCCCCGGGTAGTAGCCAGATGGCATTGGCTGGTAGACGGAACCCGGAGGAGGCCAGCCCTGTGTGATCTAATGGGTCTTTGGGAGGTAATTGGCAGCAGGCGGTCTCTCAAGTACCCAGGTCCAATACCATGAAGGGCTTTATAAGTAACGACTAACACCTTGAAGTGTATCTGGAGACCAATCGATAACCAGTGCAGCTCGCGGAGGATAGGTGTAACGTGGGTGTACCGAGGTGCACCCACAATCGCTCGTGCGGTTGCATTCTGGATGAGCTGAAGATTTTCCATAAGACCTATCTGTTTTCTAAATGGCACCAGCTTTATTGTGATTTAACTCTTTTCTAAGGGTGTGTGGTCCTTTTATAATCCTTCAAATTTTGCCTGATAAATAAAATGATCTTCATTAATCAGAAATTGACAGCCTCCACATTGGGATATGAAACTACACGTACAATGTCTGATGCATTTTAACAAAGGAAATCAAAACAGTGGCTTTTAATGTTACTAAGTAAGATAATCTTAATTCCAATTGCTGTTTCTCTTGCAGTTCAGCAAGTGAAGGGGACATGGCACGTTTAACGAAACGGCGACAAGCAGATACAAAGGCTATCCAACACCTTTGGTCAGCTATAGAAATCATCAGAAACCAGAAGCAAATTGCTAACATTGATCGTATTACAAAGTAAGTATCTTTGGAATAATATGATAATATGAGTCAAGAAGAACATAGCAATTATGTAAATATAGCATCATCACACAAAGATTTCCCCTTGCATAAGAATGATTTGGGTCCATGCTCTAAAATCCGGGATCAGGTGCTAAGTAGGTGAATGGAGAAAGTACATTCAGAACTGCTCTTGATTTATCTAGAAAAATGTAAAATGCCTGTGGTCCAGTTTAAAATTTCCAACAGGGGTGGGCTGCTGCAGGTTTGCATGGGTTCGGGAGAACCTCTAGATAAGAATCTTCCTAGTTTGGAGAACCCGTAAATCCCACCTCTGGCTGGCCCTGCCCCTCCCAGTTTGGGGTGCCAGGTAGGTCTCCCAGATGCTCAGGGAGGGTGAGAAATAGTCCTCCCAGAAGTTCCGGAAGGCTGGAAACAGGCCTGTTTCCTGCCTCTGATAGGCCTCTGGAGCCTAAGAGAGGCCATTTTTGCCTTCTTGGAGGAAAACCTCTGGATGCCAAAGGAGGGCGAAAATCCCCCCCCCTTGGTGCAGGAGGCCAGCTAGGCCACACCCACTGTGGCCCCATCCACTCAGCAACTAGGCAGAGAACCCATTGATACAATTTTTGAAGCCCACCCCTTTCCATCAGGTATTCATCACAATGAGTTGAAGGGAATAATGCATTTTAGCTGGGGAATACAATGTCACTGAACTAAATTCCAGGATTGGCTAAGCTAGAGGTTGTTATGCAACAATCTTTGAAGGCCACAAATTCTTCACTTCTGAGCAATATTCTTTCTCTTCTTCTCCACATGGAAGGAATGCATATTAGGTGTTTCTGTTTCAAATTGTTTGTCTTTACATCTGAACATGAGAAACTGTGACTTGCAGTTCTGTTGTTTCCTGAAAACAGGGATCGCCTACCATAATTCTATTTTGAGATCTTAATTTTAAGAGAATCTGTATTTTGGTGTCCAGATGATTCTGTAAAATGAATTGTCACAAAACATAATTGCAGCCTTTTGCAATGGATATGAATAAAGGGGAGGAGGAAGTGTGCAAACCTGAAAAGGATGCTTGTTCTTGTATTCCATATCATTTCTGAATATAATAATTGTGTCATGCAATGTAAATGCATTTAGCCACAGTTCTCCAAGTTACTTCAAAGCAGAGGTTATGCAGCACCACTTTCTGCTTTAAGCAGCCCTCTGTTGATGTTTGTTAATGTGTTGTGATTGCATTGTCACTGTTTGGTGTGGGTGATACAACAGCTGTTATATCCTGGTCTCTAGATAGACATTTAACTTCACAGTGTCCTTTCTGAAGGTGAAGAGTATTTGTTGAATAAAAAGCTTATCCTACTTGTTCACTGAAAGCTGATGAGTATCCCTCACGATTAAAAGTAAGAAGAAATACTTCACATAAAGTTTCTACTTTTCTACTTTTTCTAGAATGTGGTCCTTTACAAATTGGTTATTCTTTTGTTCTTGGGATATAAAAACAGACTAAAACAGCTAAGCAGTTTCCTTAGTATTTTCCAGAAGAGTTAATGGCAACAGAATTGATTCAGTCATTTTGTAACACACAGGTAAATGTAAATGAGGTTGTAAACATTTTGAGGACTTGGATATTTTTATTTACCTACAGGGCTGAATTAAATTGCAATATGTCCCCTAAAAGAAAGAAATATTATGATATATTGATGCAAGTTGCAGCTAAGGATAAATTATATTGCAAAGTACATAATCAAGGTACCCTTTGTGCTACAAGAAAATGTGAAATCAGTGTAAACTGGTGAAGCATATATTCCATGAAACAGAGCGGCCAACATTTTTTGAACCAAATCACAGTTACTCTTTAAAAGTAAAAAAAAAAACCCTGCTTAGTTCGTCTCTTTGAAAATATTTAATATGAACGATAATTAGATCATGTTGCTAAGCATGTTTCCATGGAATTCATAAGCCTTTTTGAAATTCAGTGAAATGTATTCATCAAATTAATAACATTTATGGGAGTGGTCTCTTGACTGCACTGAGAAAGATAATTTTCCAACTATGCAATGAGAACAAGAGGCACTGTATATTGTAGAAAGTTCTTCAGACCAAATGCATATGGATTGGCTTGGTTTTAGAACGTTTGCTTCCAGTGAAGTAGAATCAAGAATACAACTCTATTAAAATGTTTGAAAATCCTCCTTTAAATGCTAATTATATTATACAGTATGTAGAGTGATAGACCAAGCAACTTATTCTAGCTATAGCAGAATGTTTGTTTGACAATTGATTTTTATTCCACTTACATTTTTTGATAATTCAAGGCTATATACATATGTAATGTTCCTGCCTCCTACTTTCTTCACATAAGGGCTGATCTAAGACAAAATTATTAGCACAGCTGGCTTTCATGCCTAATGGATGCCTAGAACTCATGGTGTCCTGGTTTCTAATCCAGCACTTCAGCTGCTGCATAAATCTGGATCTCAAGTTTTGTATGGACAAAGGTCCCAGGTTGAATTTCCATCATCACCCGGAAATACTGTTGTCTGGAATCTTCTTGCTAGAGACAAACTAAACTTGACTTAATACAGTGGTGCAATTCAGCCGGTTCTATTCGGTTTGGGTGGACCGGTGGTGGCGGCGGAAGGCTCGCCTACCCCCCCCCCCCGGACATCATCATGTCCCGATTTTGATGCTCTGCGCATGCATGGAAGGTCCTGAGCATATGCAGAGGTGGCGCGTGCGAGCACATGCGTTCACGTTTGCGAACCAGTAGCGAAGGTAAGATGATTTCACCCCTGACTCAATATAATACATTTCAGGATTCCTGTGATCTGATGTTTTATCTTTACATTAACATGGATGTAGTTGTGTGAACCTGATTTACCCATGAGCACACACACAGTTCTGCTAGTTCTTTTTAAGGATTCACAGCTTTGGAAGAACTGACACTTTGAAAAAGAAGTAAGTAAATTCTTAACTTTGTAGTTGAAAACCTTTTGTTGGAGGAGCAACATTAATCTCACTGGAATTGCATTTTTTTTTTCATTCTGAGACTAGTCCATCTTTATTTAAATAGTTCTATAATCGTTCTACTACAGTACATAGTTTGAATAAGAATGTTGTGAAAGAGGAATTCAGATCAAGTTTCTAATCTACATTTCCTCCAAGCTCAGTCTCACTAAGTTACCAGATTTCAGTATGAGAAAAAGCAGACTCCGATGTGTCATGAAGACAAGCCTATAGGTATGATTTTCTCTAGTTGCTCTGGACTTGGGGGATGGCAGTTTTTAATTTATTTATTTTCCCCTAAAAATACAATTTCTTGGAATACCTTTGGCACCCTGCTAATAATAAAAAAAAACCTGATCTTGGTCTCTGGGAGCATTTCGGAGATCACTAAATGCATGCATATGTACTTTGCTAGTTGCTGGAATAATTGAAAGCAGAGCTTCTTCACATTTTTGTGAAAGTAAGTGTATTCATTATTGGGTAAAGACACATTTCATCCCCACTTGAACTCAAAGAGTAATTTATTGGTACTTTAAAATTGCATGGCTCTGTTAGCATTCCATCAGATTGCATTAAAATTTAAAATGTGAGCTTACTTCCTATTTTATTTTTTAAAATAATGCTTGCTTAGATTAGGCAGGTAGATTTTGTTCCCTATTGTACACCGACTTCAAGTTTTTAAGCTCAAGTCTTTGGGATAGTTATTTAGGGAGTGATTCTCTCCCGTGTACATTTTCTTGGTAATACAGCTTTAACGTTAGGAGGTGAGCAGATAGAAAGTACAAATGTATAATTGTTAAGGACCTAAAATGCATTTAATACCTCTGAAGACCACTGGATTCCTTCTCTAGTCATTGGAAGAAGATTGTTATTATATTCCTGATACCTTCAGTCTTGGTACTGCTAGCTTTTAAAGAAATGTTTTTTTACCCTTAGTTGTTACAAACTAAGCAGCAAAATTGAAGGGTAAGAATTTGAGATTGATATTGTGATATGAATCAGTGTTATGATCCTAAAAGTATGTCTTTCTTTGGTTTGAAACTCAGTTTATAAAATAGAGATATCTTTCAGCTACAGATAACAATTAAGGAGAATTAAAATCTTTCTAATGTACCTCATGTCATAAAATATTAATACAAATTAAAGTAATATTGCATACTAAGAAAATATCACCTTTGAATACATTATTGCTATCCTAATGTTTATAATCTGAAAACATTTTCTTCCAAAGTAATTCTTTTCAATTTAGCTATCTGGAGTTTTATTCTGGAAATGAAGATGGTTCACCAGGAAATTATATAGCACGCAGATGCACAAATACCTGTATCTGTTGTGACATGTATAAGTAGGACAATGATGCCTAACATCATAAGATGTAAAGTTAATGAAAGGTTCGGGAGTGTAAAGTGAATTTAGTCACTGGGACAAGCAAGTCTCACCTGCATTAAAATTATTGCCAAAGAGAACTGACTAGGTAAAAGTATTATATGAAGTTGCTGGAAGTTTGTAAAACACGAATTTCTACCTTCGAGAGAGCTTATGTAGTATCTAGCAGATTTTATTCTAACTCCAGCTGGTGTATTTCTATGGAGATTCTCAGTCATCCAGGTCATGGTTGTCCCAAAGGTGCTTTTTTAAGAGGCACCTGGACTTTCTGGTTTTTTCTTCGAAGACGTTTCGCTTCTCATCCAGGAAACTTCTTCAGATCTGACTGGATTCCATTTTTCATCATCCAGTCAGAGCTGAAGAAGCTTCTTGGATGAGAAGCGAAACTTCTTCAAAGAAAAAACAGAAAGTCCAGGTGCCTCTTGTAAAAGCACCTTTGGGACTCCAGCTGCTATCTCTCCATTATGTAGCAGCACACGGAAGCTGTTATATTTTTAAGTAGATTACTAATTGCAATGGATTCGTGCACACGGTGATTGCAGTCCATCTAATTGTAGGCATGATTTCCAAGGGAGGAGAAGGATTTGGTGAGTTTAAATTTAAATTAACTCCATTCAGCTTGA